TCCTATCACTTTGTTTTGAAATTCTGTATCTTTTTTAATTGTTTTTGTTATGTTTATATCTTTGTTTTTGTTATGTAGATATATCTTTGTTTTTGTTCTTTTCTCTTTAAAATAAAAAAATTGCTCCCAATCCACTCCCCAAAAGTAGGAGTGCCTGTGTAGATTTGCTCAAACCCGGACCCTTGCACAACTCTACCAGTGAGCTGTATCTCAAGCCGTCTGCCAGTGATTTTTACAGAATTAGGAAAATGGGTGCTTGCTTTTTTTTTCCCCCAATAGGCTGTCATTGTTATGAACAGTGTTTAAACTGATAGTAGTCTGTAGTGTAGGCTTAACTTACTCTTTTCTGTTTTGATTTGGTTTGGTTTTTAGAGACTGGTTACTGGGTACTATGGCTTGTATCTAGATATCCTCCCAAAGCTTCATGCAGTCATAGGTGGGTCTTTTTCAGAGGTTGCTGGATCTGTGTTTGTGATGCTTGGATTAAGGGTGTGTGACTACTAAATTAGTCCACTGATTGGTTTGGCATAGTTCTGAGTGTGGATAATGTGAAGGCCCACTGTGGGTGTGAGTGCTCCCCACCCTAAACTTATGTAGCCTCGATATAATATGAGGAACAGAAGGAGGGCTGTCATTTCTTGCTGATCTTGCTGCATTCTACCTGCCATGAATTGTTTCTCCTCTGCCATGCTGCTCTGCCTTGGAGCCAGCTGATTATGGACTGAAACTGCTGCAAAGTGTGAAATAAACGTTTCCTCCTTTAACTGTGGGTGTCAGGTGTTTACCTCAGCAGTAAGAAAAGTAACTAAGGCACTGGGTAACTTAGATTCTAGGTTTAACTTTAGTGCATATTTAACTGTACTTCATAACTCACATTTTTGTGGGCTTGTCAAATTAAATTTTGGAACAGATTATAAATTTATTGTGGCAGAAATAGTAAGTATCAGGAGTCAAGGGGTGATGTAATTGTGGCAGAAGCTATGCCACAATTGTGGCAGAAGCTATGAGTAATTAAGAAGCAGGAGTGAGTCAGCTTCAGGGAAGTCATTTTGGTCCTCTGGATCTTTTGATTTTTTTTTTTTGTTTGTTTTTGTTTTTGTTTTTCTCCGGTACCGGGAACCGAACTCACGACCTTGCGCTTGCCAGGCAGGCGCTTTGCCGCTGAGCTAAATCCCCAGCCCCCTGGATCTTTTGATTTTAAAGCATTATGAAATGGTGCACTTCCATTCTCATCATGTTATAGCAAATATTTCCTGATAAGCATGATATGAATGTATATTAATTATCTTATAAAATTGAACAAGGTCTATCTTCCCAAAATTTGAACTAAATTTCAGTTTATAAAACATACAAAAGCAATATTTATTTGGTAAATATTCTTGGAATATTTCTGTACATGACTCAAATGTCCATATCCATTTTTTGGGTAGTAAATATGTTCAGGTGTAAACGTGAAGTAAATGTTTAGCAGGTACATTAGAACTTAAAAGATCTGGTATAATATTTTCTTCAAGAATGTAATATTTTCTCTTATAAAAGTAAAGTGTTTAAAAAATGTTGAATTCTGCTTGCTACTGGGTACAAGAGGCTGACCTGATGTCTTAGTCATTTTTCTCACCCAAAATTTAAATGATGAGTTGTTTATTTTGGCTAGCATTTACAGCCCATCATCAGCTAGCCCCAAGGCAGGATGGCTTGGGAGAGAGGCATAGTGGAGAAGCTGCTGATGTCATGGCAATAAGGGAACAGAGACTCAAGGAGGAGCTGGGGGTCCCAGGCCATGCCCACAGTGACCCACCTCTTCCATTCGGGTCCCACCTTCTAACAGCAAGTCAGCTATAAGTCCCCACTGTCTAATCCCCTTCCAAAAGCCTCACCTACCATGTGAGCACATGAGGTTCTTAGAGGACTTCTAGATATAAGCTATAACATTTCATCCGTGATGTCCAAAATACTTATGCACATCTCTTTATGCAAAGTACATTTTGTCCATCTCTAAAACTTGCCAAAGTCCTAATAGTTTCAGCATTGCTGAAAAGTCCAAGTTCAAAGTCTCCTGTGAGACTTCAGGCAACCTCTTAGTGGTGAGTCCCTGCCAAAATAAAAAAGTTAAAAATTGCTGACCTACAATGGCACAGGGTAAACATTTCCTGAAAAATGGAGAAATAGGAGGATAGAAACCAGTGTGTCCAGAGCAAGACTGAAACCCAGTAGGATGAACGTTAAACTCTGTAGCTCCATTTCCAGCACTCAGGCCAAGTTGTAGTGAGATGTGAATTCCAAAGTGTTTGGGCATTGTGTGCATTAGTGGCCCTCATGGCTTTTTCTTGGACTGACTTTGCTTATTCCTTGCAGCTTTCCTCAGACTTCTCACATTCCTAGCTTCTCCAATTTCCTGGGGTCTCCACTGCACTCACAGCTGTATGCACTGCTTCCTCAGGGTCACACTTCCTGGCCTCCCAGACCTTCTGAGATTTGTGTGGATGTCTTTTTGACCCCACAACTCTTGCATACTAAATACCTGTGAAACCATTACTATATGGATGACTCCAACGTCTGCTGTCTGCTGACTGCTCCGGCAGTAGCCAGGCCCTTTTAAATCATGCCTACAGTGGTCTCTGTGTGCCGGGATAGCTAAGCACTGTGAACCAAATCCTGGGAAATAGATTCCTGAGGCAGCCCTTCTGAAGCATTGTGCCCTGGGGCTCTCTTCTCATAGCAAAATATTTTATAATTTTGGGCCTTTGAAGGATGAGGCCTTGCTGATGTTTGACATGCCCTTAAGCCATTTTTTAAAGTGCTAATCTTTTCAACAACCAAGTTCTGTACTCTATCTTTGCAAGTGCTTTATTTCTGACAAAATTGCAGTTTTTAAATGGATTTTTTGCTCTTGGTTTTCAGTATAAACCTGGCTAAAAGCCCCCAACAGTACCCATGTCACAGCCCCAACATTGGGCTGCCTTGAAATTTCCTCCTCCTTAATTAGTCTGTTGCTCTTAATTAGTCCACTGCCCTTAATCTCAGTCTCTTGCAGTCTCAGGATGAATGGAAAATGTAAAAAAATTTTATGCAGAGCATAACACACATGACCTGGAGTCCTACTGCGAATGGAGTTCTTACCAACTGAAACCTCCTGAGCCTGGTCTGTGCAGTCTGCATTCTAGTCTTCTGACTAGAATCTCGCTTTCAAGCCCAGCTTACTGCATTTTAGGGCTGCTTTTCTAGCCAGCATCCAAACCTTTCTAAACTCCTCCTGAGACCCTCTTCCCAAGACTTCTAAAAAATATGGTCAAGTAGTGTCACAGCAGTGACCCCATTTCTCTGGCAAATCTGTCTTAATTAACTTTCTCATTACTAGACACAATACGCAACACCCACAATTTATATGAGGAAGGGTATATTTAGGCTTATGTTTACAGTCCATGATCACCTGGTTCCAAACAGGACAATATGACAGGAGGCACATAGAAGATGAAAAGCTGATTATGTCATGGTAGTGGAGAAGCAGAGAGTCAAAGGAGGAGCTGGGGAGACAAAACCTTTCAGTGATCCATCTCCTCTGACCAGGTCTCAGTTCCTAAGAGCAAGTCAACTAGAATGCTGTTGTAATCCAGTCACCTTGCAAAGGTCCCATCTATGATTGCATGAAGCTTTTAGGAGAAAATCTAGATGTAAACTGTAAAACCTGGCAATACCTAAAATTCCACCAAAATCCAAACTCAAAACAAAGTTTTACGGACTGAACAAGAGAAAATGTAAAATGCAAACCAAAAAAAAAAAAAACAAAAAGAATAATGTTTGGGCTGGGGATTTAGCTCAGTGGCAAAAGCACCTGCCTAGCAAGCGCAAGGTCGTGAGTTTCGTTCGGTTCCTGGTACCGGAGAAAAACCAAAAAAAAAAAAAAAAAATGTAAAACGCAAATTTTTCAACAGTACAAATATAACTCAAAATATAACTGAATTCTGTGAATAATATTATATCATACACATATATATATTTAAACTTATTGAAAGTCAAACTACTAGTTCTTAAGTACCTAATATAATGCCAATGTAGTACGGAGCATTGAACACAGGACCTCATGAGTGCTCTACCACTGAGCTATACTCCTAGCCTTTTTTAAAGTTTATTTTTGAGACAGACTTCCTGTATTACCCAGGTAGGCCAAGCACTAGAATTACTGGGATTATAGGAATGTGCCACCACACCTGGCGTAATTTTTCTTTTTTGGTGATTTTTTTTACTTCTGTAAGATGAGAAAGTCTATTTGGATTAGGGATGAGTTATAGCAGATTTTGTTGTTATTTTGTATTTTTAACTTTAATTAAACTAGCGTATATTCATTTTTTAAAGTAAACTTTCAAGCATACTTGTAAGAGCAGAGAATAATAATTATTTTTTCTGAGATGGAGTCTTGCCATGTCCAGGCTGGCCTCCAATTTTCAGTCTTCTGCTTCAGCCTCCTGAGTAGCACAGATTACAGGTGTACACCACCATACACAGCTGAGCATAGTATAATGAATCTCCATAAGCTCATCACTTATGTTGAAAATATTATCAGCATTGTGCTACACTTTTCTTACCTCTTTAAAGCTTTTTTTTTTTTTTTGAGACAGGGTCTCACTGTGCAGCTCAGGCTGAACTTAAGCTCACTTTGTAGCCCAGGCTGGCCTCGAACTCAAAGTGATCCTCCTGCCTCAGCCTCCCCAGTGCTGGGATTACAGGTGTGCACCACCACACCCGGCTTAAAATTTTTCTTTTTCTCTTTGTAACCTAAAGGAAATTGCAAATCTTATTATTCTACTTCCACATCCTCCATAATTCTTCTATAAGATATATGATTTTCCTAGGTGGCTATAATTTATTGATCTACAAAGTTAATAGTTCTTGCTATCATCTCATACCTAAATTTCTCTGATTAACTAAATTTAATCATATGTCTCATCAAATATTTATACCCCATAATGCTCCCATTTGAAACAGCTATATTTCTTTTTCAGATTAGTGACGATGAACCAGGCTATGACCTAGATTTATTTTGTATTCCTAATCATTATGCTGAAGATTTGGAAAAGGTGTTTATCCCTCATGGACTAATTATGGACAGGTTAGTAAGATCTCCAATTGAAGTTTTTAAAAATGTTGTCCTGTATTAATTTCAAGTACCAGCAAGTGTTGAGTGGTTGATGTGAAACTAGGCCAACTTGTTAAATAATAAATGCTTTCTATTTTTAAAGTCTACTTTAGAAAAAACAAAAGCAGAAGAAGCCTTACTAATTACCCAGTATAAGGCATGGCATGGTGGGAATCTATAGGGAATAGCACAAAGTGAACACATTGCAGGAAGTTAGAAGAATGAACTCCTGTTAGAATCTTTGATTTCCCTGTCCAAATGGTAGTGGGTTGACGCTGAATATCATGAGGGCAAACTCAGGGTTTATTTTTTTATTAATTAAATGTATTGGTATATTTTAA